TATTTAGACCTCTATAAATGCCCTTTGCCTCCTAGTTCTTTCCTCTATTTCTGTTTACTTCCCTCTTGTCCCACTATCATGAGAATTTTCAATCTTAACTGTACCTTTCCTGTTTGTTTTTCATCTTCTTTATTTTTTGAACTTTAAAACTTAGCATGTGTTTACTTCCTGATATTTATTTGGTTTGTGTTTGAAATGCATGCAGGTGTTGACATTTGGTGTTTGCATTGCAGTTCCCTGAATGTGGCTTCTATGGACTGTACGATAAGATCCTGCTTTTTCGCCATGACCCTACCTCTGAGAACATCCTGCAGCTGGTGAAAACTGCCGGTGATATTCAGGAGGGCGACCTTATTGAAGTTGTCTTGTCAGGTAGTAGGCTGTTTTTTTCCTTCTGTGTGTGTCGATTCATGATTTATATTTGAAGAGTTCTTACATGTGTGTTGTGTGCATGCACACAAATGAAGGTACTTAAAAAAGCATTGCTATAAAATCATATACATCCGTATTAAAAATCTCAAACTGTGAAGCTATTATTTCTTGACCTAGACTCCATCTAGGTCTGTACACAGGGAGCTCTGTTGGCATGGCGACCTATGTGTTGGGTGGCTACCCCCAAGGTCAACAATGGGAAAGCACCAGCCATTTCATGGGAGAAAGGTGAGACTTTCTGCTTCTGGAAAAATGTACAGCCGTGGAAACCCCAAGGGACAGTTCTAGTAAATTTGTAGAAGTCACAGTAGGCTCGATGGCACCGGGTCTCAGTTTAGGTGTACACAATTTTGAAGGTGGTATTTCCGTCTCTCCAACTCTTTCCCAAGCATTCTGCACTCTTTGATTTGCATGTCAAAGAGACAGTTGGGCATCTTCGGGTATGCTCCTTTTCAATATTCTTTGATTGGGGGAACACAAAGAAGCCAGGAGGGACGAGAGCAGGGCTGTTGGGTGAATGGCATATTTCCCAACAAAATTCTCCTACACCAGCCCTTGATAGCCTCACCATAACCTCTGAGCTGACTTCTGTGCCTGGAATTTAACTCATCGAGCAGATCCCCAGGAAGTCACAGTTTTATTCAGACCATTTTCAAAAGGCACCCGAATGTGATGCAGGCAAGTGAGAAGTTGTCTGCAGCCATCACTGAACAGACACAGCAATAGACTTCAACAATGTTTTGTTTCCAGTAAGCCTATGTGTATGAAGTAGAATGCCTACTTCATACCTAGTAGCACTACCTTCGGACTTACTTCATGTATATAAATATCAGCACATATGTATGTATCTATATGCATGTATATAAATTTTACTGTGGATATGTATATATAATTTAAATATATTATTTTCATAATTCCTATTGCACCAGTGACCTTTTTCATATTCAGTTGTTTTATAAACGTCACCAATATCTCCTTCAAAATAGTTTCATCATCCCAACAAGAAATCCCCAATCTACCCTGTTCTGCCGGAGAAAGATGAGGCTGTCTGCTCCCATAAAGAGTTACAGTCTCAGAAACCCACAGGGCCAGTTCTGCTCTGGCCTATACAGTTGCTATACAGCAGAAGTGACTCAATGGCAGTAAGCTTGGAGCTTGAAGCTACCCTTTTCTGAGCCCCAGCTAACCTCTAGCTTTCCATATCTATGCATTTTACATAGATATATGAAATATATCCCATATGTACTCGTGTATAATACGAGCTTTTCAGCACATTTTTATGCAGTGTTTGTGGTAAAATTAGGTGCCTGGGCTGATATTAAGGTTGGCTTATACTCAACTATATACGGTAACATTTATCCCTCTGCATCTGATTCACTTCATTTAGCATAAAGTTTTCAAGGTCCATGTGTGTTGTAGTATATACGAGAACATCATTGCTTTTTATGGTTATGAGTAGCACATATACCATATTCTATTTATCTACTCATGTAAAAGTGCACTTTGGTGTAAAATACCTGTTCGCATTTCTGATTTCAGTTCTTGGAGTTACACACCCAGGAATGCCATTGTTTGGTCATATGGCAATTCTGCATTTAACTTTTTGAGATGCTGCCAAACTTTTTTTTCCACAGCAGGTATACTATTTTACCTTCCGAACAATTATGTACAACGGCTTTATTTTCCCTGCATTCTCACCGATACTTGTTAAGTATAGGTTTTTTGTTAGTTAGTTTGTTTGTTTGTTTTTTTTTTTGGGGGGGAGGGTTTGGTAATAGCCATCCTGTGGATCAGGCATGTTAACTCATTGTGCTTTTGACTAAAACCAAACAAAAAACTCCCTGCCGTGGAGTCGATGATGCATGACAGTGACTGCTATAGGACTAGAAGTGCCCTTGTGAATTTCCCATCTTTCTCCCCAGGAGCTAAGAGTGGTTTTGAACACCTTGCAGTTTGATGCCCAATTGGTCCAGGTCTCCTCCTGGTTTTGAATAGATGTATGCTTCTAAGGTGATGTTAAATACATATGTCAAAGTTGGCTCTAATAGGAGATTTTGGGGCTCTTTCTGGATGAACTTTTAAGTTTTTTATTTTCCTTCTTTAAGGATAGCAGAAGAACTTTTAAGTTTTTTATTTTCCTTCTTTAAGGATAGCAGAAGATTTTTCTTGAAATTAGCTGCTTGTGTCACCAATAATCTTCCAGTTCCTCTGTCAAGCTCATCCTCATTCCCTGTCTGGACTCCCTTGGCTGGCAGCGAAAGAATAGAAAGCTCAGTAGCAGTGAAGATAAAGCAGATGTGCAGGCGACAATTGCACTGAAAGTCTGGGAACCAAACCGATGAAAGCAGATCATAGAAGCCATGGAGTGAAAAATCCAGTAGCCCCGAGTAAGCGAGAACAGAGAAACAATCAGAGCTCAGGTGTTAGAGCAGGTAAGATCAGATCAGGTAATAGCTTCAATTTGACAGCGAATGCATGGCTTAGTGCCCTTGGTTCCTGAGAGATGCTGAATTTCCCTCTGCTCAGACTTGACATTTCTTGTTTTATGATTTAGAAGCTAGTAATAAGACTGTCCATTGATACCGAGAAAATGGATGTATTTAGCTTAGAAAATACCGAGTGCCAGACAACCACTATGGAGAGGCTCCTTTCAACAATGCTCAGTGAAAGAATCGTGAAGTTGTCCAGAATGTTATTGTTTATTTTTGCTAAAAATACTTGTGGAGACATTACTGATTTCTTTGCATGGCTTCTTTCTCTCTTCCGGCCTCCTTTGCTTGCTGTCTCGTTGGCGAAAGGCCGTTGTGCAGAAGCACCTTTTAAAGGAAATCTATTAGCTTTAATGATTCTAGACTCCATTTTCTCAAGTTCTCATTGATCGTCTACCATTGAGTGAGGGATGACATGGCTCCCTTGTCTTTGTGAAGCTGGAGCTTGCAAACAGATTTCTTGCTAGATAAAAGTCATCATTGTTGTTTATGGGGTAGCCAGTTGCTAAATAAACAAACTAAAAATGCAAACGCTTTAATGCCCTTTTATTATTATCTTTAAAGCTATTTGCGTTGACTGGCTTCTTCCATTTGCTTTCCTTTGGCAACTTTGACATTTGCTGACTGTTCATGTCCTTTCAATATTAGGGACTAGACATGCTGCTTCCTAAGTTGACTGTTTGTGGACAGTGGAGACTGTGTGAAATAAATTATTCAGAGAAATCATGAACTGAATTTTTTCCCCACTATAATCCATCTTAAACTCCCAACCAGACTTCTTTGCAAATACTGTAATATGTCTTATGAGCTTTTTATTTTAACTTATGGCAATGTCCGGAAATATATGAAATTTTTTAAAAGTATATTGTGAAGTTTAATATACTTTTCTTTCAATTGAACTTTTGTTATCAAGCATTTTATAGTTGTACCAGACAGATTGAATACAACCCGTGTGTGGGTCTCACTAACTGGCTACCCCGCAGTTAGTGAGTCGCCTGTTCTCCCCCCAGGTTAACCTGATGCCTCCCTCTGAAGTTCCCTCGCTGCACGTGGAATACTATTCTGTCTCCCTTTCGTTTCTCGTCAGAGCAAGGCCCTCGTGGTGCTTATGCTTCCATTCTGTCACCATCCACCATCATATCTGCCTCTGCTATCTCTGGCCATGATTGCTACGAGGGCTTTTAAGGGCATACCCCGTTCTCACCAGCTTTCCCACCACAAAGCTCAAGAAATACACTGCAACTCTGAGCACCTCTCTTTCTCTATATATTTAAAAAGCCATATCGTCACCTGGAACCTTAGAACCCTGGTATCACTCTACAAAGTTTCACTTCCCCAAGGTCACTGGACTGAAAATGATGCCATTTTACTTCGACCTTCAGCACTTCCTAGTCATCATTGTGGGCAGCAGGTTTCTTACCTCTCCACTCGGACACTGAGGGTCATGATTAGCGCAATGGATACGAAACAATCTCCCTTCAACTTCCCTTCTTTCCATAGTCAATGCTGCTTCCCCCATCTCCTCGCCTTTTCCTCTTTCTGCCCTGAATTCATAGTGATTAAATGCCCGGTATTTCTTCCTCTGTCTTTGTGTCTTTACCCCATTTGCAGTCTGTCTCTCTTGTCGGTGATGCCATACGAAAGGCATTGGCTCTAATTTCTTACTCTTTGCAGAAGTGTCGAGTGAAACGGACCTCTTCGGCTTCCCTAGTGCCACGTTAGGATATTTTCTATTTAACCTTCCCTCCACTCCAAGTGATTCCCATTTTGCTTTCCCGTGCCACCTTTTGATATCATTGCTTTGAGATGATTTATTTCTTTGAAAGCATTCTCCCATTGAGCCATGGGGATAACTTCAACACCAGACTCCTATTGTTGCTTTTCATGTTTGCATTGGATCATCGCTGGGGTTATGAAAGTATGTGCTTATGATGCTTCCGATTCTTTGCTAGTATTGTCATGGTCCGCTACCCGGCAGCATAGCCCCATCTTTGCCTCCACTGATAGGACCCGGTTCCATTTGCGAGAGCCTCCCTTCAAAGCACGATTCGTCTCTGCTCTAGTCTGCCGTCTTGCCGGTCCCCGACCAAAGACCATACCTCCCTTTCCTGTCTTTTTTCACGTTCATTTGTAATCGTTAGCCTCCTGTCATTCTGTCGGCTCCATAGGCCTCTTTATTTTTTTCTCTCACTGCAGTTGGTCTCCTCCCGCTCCATGGACGTGCTGTCCAACACTCTGGGAGAGGTTCAGTTCTCACTACCAAATCTTGGTAGGAGCTCTGGGGGCATAATGCTTACTGGTTGGGCTGTTCACTGCAAGGTCAGCAGTTGGAAACCACCGGCCGCTCATTAGGAGAAAGGTGGGATTTTCTACTTCAGTAAAGGGCTACAGTCTTGGGAACTCCCTGGGGGCAGTTTTATCTTCTTGTCCTGTCGTGTTCCGGTGAGTTGG